TAGTTCAGCAATAATAAAAATGTAATCATTTCCTGATGGCCTGGTGCTGTTTTAACTGCTTAAAAAATAGAAGCAGTGATAAATATATCGCTGTAGAGAGTAAGCTTTGATTTAAAAAATAATAATTATATACACAGTAAACTAAGCCTGGACAGTAAACGATTGATAACGAAAGTTAGAGAAAAAATGCTTAAGTTGAGCATACTATGGCGAATCAATCATGGTCATGCCTTTTTTTGAAAATGAAGATATTTTCACAATTGCTATGTGTCTGCCCCAGACTTACCGGTTTTAGATTGAAGTGGATGGGTGCAGAGCTGTTACCTGGCGAGGAAAAAAGTTAAAGTTTTGTAAAAGGGCGTGTAAATATAGCGCTAATTTCATTGTATAATTTTTAGTTGTAAGTTGTTTTAGTTGTTGTTTTGTTTCTATATTGAGAAGCAACAAAGTGTCCTCCCTTAATTTTTGTAATTATCTCTTAGACAATCCTTCATTACTTATCTTATATTTTGTCCGTTTTCAAGGAAAAAAAAATAAATCTATTACTTGTGTTGACAATTGGATTTTGTAAATAAATCTTTGATTAGTTAATCCCTTTTTTGTTGGTCTTTCTCTAAAGTTGCTTCCTAACGTTCCGGTGGTTTGATTAACTGTAATTATGCCTTTCAACAACTTGTTTTATATATATATGACTCATCTCTTGTCGCTCAACACCTTACTCAACATGTGCAATCTTAACCTATAAAATGAATATATTCATTTTTCTTGGAGATGTAGGTATTCTAGTGAATAATTTTTGTTATATTTTTTGTTCCTTGTTAATTTTAATTTTGGATATTTATTTTACGCAATTTTATTACTATGTCAAAAAAACTTATTTGTATTGTTTTTAATAAATCTAGGCCCTGAGGATTTAAGTTGTACCTTTTTTAACATGCTACCGCTGTTGAGATCAAGCAACGACTTCAATAAGTTAAACATGTTACTTGCGAGATGGCCTGCCAGTGGTAGAGAACTTGTGACAAGGCATAAAACATCAATTAGTCTGAGCAATATTGGACGGAAATTTTGTTTTCGGATGAGTCAAGGTTTTGTTTGAGGTCTTCTGACGGCCGAGAGAGGGTTTGGAGAAGAAAAGGAGGGCGATATATCTCCGCAACATTTCACTCTGGCGAACCTATAGAGGTGGTGGTGTTATGTTTTGGGGAAGCATTTCTATGAAACTTCGCAGAAACTTGATCTTCGTCGAAGGGTTCCCTAACAGCTGCGCGATGAATTGAAGATGTGTTATCAGAAGACGTTGTTCTTTATAGCCACTAATTGACGACGGTTTTATTTACACCGTTAGGGTCGTTGGTGACCATTTGAAATTAGCTTCAATTCAATGTTTGGAGTGGCCAGCATGTAGTCCCGGCTTTAACCATGTCGAACACGATTGGGACGAATTGCCAAAGAGGGTGAAAAGTCGACCAGTGATGTCAGAGAATTTGCAAGTATCAAGACTAGCGCTGATGGAGGAGTATCCAAAATATTTCACAACACAACATTCAAAAGCACATAAAATCGATGCCACGTCTAATTTTAGTCGGTTAGTCAACGCAAGAGGAAGAAACACTCCTTACTGAATTGAATTGTTTCCATAGCAACATTAGGGGTATTCAGGATATTTCTAAGATGGTTAATTCGTGATAACTCGAATAGAGAAATGTCCAGTAAGATCGTGAATGCCCCTTCTTTTCTTAGCATGTTGAACGTTCATTTTTCCGCAATGCTGCGCGGGCGATGGGTAGAACCAAAAATAAAGCTATAACAGTCCTTGAAAGCTTGTTGTTGTTTGTTTTGGTTTTCTTTGGTGTTAAATTGTGAGATGCCAGAAGTTAATAAAAAAGAAAATTAATCAACTCTTTCATTCAAAATGCTATCTTTGCACTCGAAAAGTACTAACAATGACACGCTTCAATTCGTGCCGACATACCTAACTTGTATCCTAAGGTCTAACAGCCTACAACTTTATAGGATATGGGATGTATCCTCCCACTTATGAATGAGAGTATAGGGACAGGTCACAAATTAACAAGAAATGTATTGGGCTGATTTAATCATTGTGTATTTAAGAATAAAAATACGCTTAAACAAAAAACAGCTGTTAAATTCATGGCTGCCATGTTGGTTAGCTATGCCCTAACGGATAGCAATGTGACTACATTTTCAACCTTACATCTATTGGCCCTGGCATGTTAGACCGAGCAATGTTATTATGTTATAATAATATTATTACGTCATCATTTTTCTCGATCTAACAGGACCTGACAGACTTAACAGGGTTAACACAAACACCCTTCTGAATACCCCTTTCTTTAGGTATAATTATTTAATTTAGCTTTACTTATATTTTCCTTTAAAAATATCCAGTAGCAAGAAAAAATATAATTTCGCAAGTATTTACAAGAAAAAAACGACGGTTGCCACTTTTTTTTTGCTTCTCACTGTCGATTAAGTTTTGTTTTTCGTCGTATAATATACTAACGAATGCATGTAGTGCAATAAATATTGTCATTCTATGCGTTAAGTTATTAGTAAATTAATGTTGAATAAGTTCATGTTTAATCCATGAACACAACAAAATATGCATATTTTAATTTTGATTTTAAATAATTGATTCTCCTATTGATGGTTAATAAAATCAAGGAGCTTGTCTTTCATTTTAAAGAATGTATTTATGTATATTGTATATTGTAAATGAAATATAGACTGTAAAAAATTATTTATGCATTGGTTCGTTGATAACTTTCTCCAGTCTTTCATTTCTCCAACTTCAAAGACTTTGTTATAAAGATATATAGGATTCATGCGAAAGAGTATTTCTTTTATCTGCTGACCCGAAGCTTTTTTGTTAATATCGTCTCGAATTCCCGGGACAGGTGGTAATCGAAAGGCGGTATGTTGTCATTGAGGAAAAAACTCCATTTCTATTCCGACAAATGCGAACAGCTTTTCCTTGATAGCTATATTTAGTTGTTCGGATTGGGAACATTGGAAGATAGATTTACCGTTTCATTTTGAGGAAGCGCTCCATAGAAAAGTTATCAGACTCATCAAATGCACAGCGGTCATAATTTTATTCGATTTGTACACCTAGGGCTGGAAAAGGACGTCTCCATTCACCATATTTGCTAACAATTTGTTATAAAGAATGCAATTTCGGTAATGATTTGTTGAAAAATCACAAAAAGAATAATATCTCATAATTATTTGGAAATCGTGAAATGCGGTCTGGTGTGACGTAGGTTTTGGAAAATTTCTTCATTTTCTTTATCGTGCCAACGTTTCGATGTTTATTGAGATCATCTTCAGGGCCTGGGATTTGTAAACTTTGTTTAAATTATACAAATATGTGTAGGATTTGGGGAAAAAAACGAATTTACACAATGCTAGACATTTTAGAATCAATACAAATATTTGTACTCACTCGAAGTGTTTTTTTCGTGGTAGATATGTCATTTTTGTGTGGCGTGTTGAAAGTGCCAGTGAGATATTGATGTTTTATGTTTATATACGTTGGGTTTTGAAGGGGTGGGGAAGGAAGTCGGGATAGAAATCCATTTTTCTATGAGGAGTCGGCTTCTTTGAGGTGAAAGGAGCCGACAATGAGAAAAAATGGGGAATGGTTCGGCCTGATTATCCTTTCAGGATTATATAGACGGGGATAATAAGGGAAAGGAAAGCCAAATTGTTGAAGATTGAGGCTATGTAGAAATGTTTGATGTATGGAATGTGATGATGGTTTTATATGTTATATTATATGTTTTGTGTGAAGTGATGATTTTATATGTATGTTATCGATACTGAATTTGATTAATGCTATTAGCATAGCTGCGACTGAGTTGGCATGTGTCTGTTCTGTAATTGATGTGTGTTTATCTCTGTTGATATAAACCATTTCTAAAAAGTTAAGTTTATGTTCGTTTTGTTCTGTGCGTAATATTTTTGGATTGTTGAAGTCGAAGTATTGAATCTAAAACTTCTAGCATTGCATACATTTGTTTTTTCCCCATACCCTACATATATTTGTATAATTTAAACAATGTTTATAAATCCCAGGCCCCGAAGATGATCTCAATAAAGATCGAAACGTTGGCACGATAAAGAAAATGAAGAAATTTTCTAAAATCTACGTCACACCAGACCGCATCTCACGATCTCCAAATAATAATTAACTGACGGTCACTAAACACTACACAATTATCTCATAAGTTGGTTTTATGTATTTTTCATCCTCTCAATAATGAAAATCATTTGAAAATGGGTCGTGGTTCTTAATAAACATAATTCTTCAGCATATGACGAATAATTTATTAAATGATGATCCTTAAAGTTTACAGATATCCCAACATTTGAATCAAGAAAAAACGGTTGCCTTTTTTTACTATTATTTAAAACAAAGTAATATGTATTTGACAACTTATGTATAGCTCAAAGGGAAGAGCTTGTTGCAGCTTCATAGCCTCTGACAATATTCCCTGTGTAACATGACATTTATGCCTCTCTGTTTTGCATTGAAGAAGCACATTTAGAAAATTTATTGCTCACGATATAGTTTTAAACCTGGTGAAACAAATTTCCCAAGCGGACATGACTATATTAATTACTATATGATAACTAACTCGAAAATAGAAAATGGTTGTATTATTTATTGTCTGTTGTATCACGCATGACCTGGCATATCTCACATAACGTTTTCAAAGTATAAAATGAATAAATGCTCCATCCAGAAAAACTCCATGCTGTCAAGCACAAGTTATTCACTTAATGATAGAAAATTAAATAAAAGGAATGATTTATTTGTTATTTATCTCGATTCATGTCCCAGATCCCTGTGTCAATTCTAATAGGAGCGAACAAAGGGAAAAAGGGAAAATTATCAGACAGAAGCAATAATCTATATTAACAGCTATATCTTTAATAATTAATAATTTACAATAAAAAGCATAAAAGGTTTGGATAAATGACAAAAAAATATTCGGACAGATTTTACATTATAATTTCACATAGAATTTATATTTGACTCAACAACTTTAACGTTACGACTAAATATTATTTACATTTTATTGAATCATTGTTAATTATTTATTTTTCGGGGGAGGGGTGTGGCCGCGGACGAGTCTCCTTCCAAAAGCGAAACTGTTATCGATAATCGGGCTCAAAAATTATCGAAACAGAAATCGCGTTGTCGGATCCTCGAACACGACAGTAAAACATGTATGCATATAATAAATACAACATTGTTTAAATTATCTTATCGAGCATAACAAACTTTATATCCTTACGACACTATTATTTTTACATAATCATCTAAATGTTAAATTTTTACAGATTTCAATTTAATACCTAAACCGTAGAACAGATCTACATAACTAAATTACAAACAATTATCACATATTGCGAAGGTAAAAAATCAAAATAAAAAAACAATTATCTACACTCATTGTTCAAATTGGTGAAATCGATTTCGCGGTGTTCAGTACGATTACATCGGGAAGTACATTGTAAGTTGATGGTCGACGACGTGCTACAATGTTGTCTGTTCATTTCAACACCCCATTTGCACAGCAACAGGCGACCCAACAATCGACATATAATCGTTTTAATCTCTAATTTCATGTAACGTTGAGCTATTTCCATTCGAATCCGAGTGTCCAGTTTCGTTTCGCTTTGGACGCTTCGCGATTAGGGTTCGAGAGAAAGTTTCATTATCGGTGACAAATCACAGGGTCTTCAATAACCCAACGAGCGAATGTTCTTGAAGTAGCTTTCTAACTGTCCTTAGGTCCATTCTCACTACTTCATTCGTGAGAACAGTTTTCCCAGTACGTCACCTTCACTAATATTCATGATTGTGATACGAGTAAAAAGAAGGAAGCTACCCAAAAAGACGAGGACATATGGAATCGAAGTTTCTTGTTGCAAAAAAGATCAGTAGAGTTCAGTTCATTGACGTTATTCAGCGAGTAAAATGGCCCGACCTGATTTTAATATCCATCTGATAAAAATCACTGGTTGTATAAGGTAGGGTAAACTGATTGCTCTGGATCGTACTTTTTACTATAAAATAAAAATATATTTAATATATAAAATAAAAGTTAGGATATCGTCTACTTCTCTTCATAGAAAATATGGAGCATAAACGCGTCTCATGGCCTATGCATTCATCGATTAATTGAGTCACTAAAGACTATTTGGTTAAATGAAATTAATATATGATGAAAAACATAATTTCTTGTATGTAAAGTTATAAAAGAAAATGTGTTACCGAGTAGGTAGGTGATTAGACGCTCAGTACATTCACTAAAAATCTCATTGTAACTACTATTTAGTTGTTCGAAATATTCAAAACTATGACTCTGAACAGTTATACTATTCTTGCTTATTATGTTCTTCTAAACATAGTACGATATCTATGTTGAAATGAATTATGTACAGTGATAAGCTGACCCTTTTACACCATTTTGCTAAGTGATAGACCCGTTTGTTCAAATTGTACGGATGAGATCCAAATTATTATCAATCACATAATCTGCTTCTTTTTTCATTCGATACGAGATCACGAGGCAAATTTGATGTGTAGGAGTTTTTTAAAGGCGCGTCTAAAGTCCAGATTGAATATAGTGTAAATGATGGGGTTGAGAGCGGAGTTGATGTAGCCGAGCCACGTGATGAAATTGGTCAGCTTTTCTGACGGACAGCACGTGGAGCAGAAAGGCAAGATGACATACATGAGGAAGAACGGTAGCCAGCACATAACGAAAACGCCCATGATGATACCCAAAGTGCGAGCCGCCCGTCTCTCTTTGCTCAGCGAGATTCTCTGCTTCTCTTCGATGAACTGGTTGACCTGTGTCGATCTCTTTGCCGCGACCGACGGGACCTGGTTCTCCTTGTTGCTCCCTTCCCTCCAATCCTCGCATTGCTTTTTACTTTTCGGAGAATTGGTGGACGAGAGATCGTGGACATCCGTGACGGAGTCCTCAGCCGGTTGGGTCGCGAGGTAGTTGCCACTCGAGTCCGACTTTTTTTTCTTCCTCTTCGGTTTTTTCTTTTTCTCGGTTTGATCGTTTTCGTTAGTCTCGGAGCTGACGGATTCACCGTCGATGGGCGAATGCTTTTCTTTGAGCGAGTTCTGTTGGACGTTCTGCTTGACGGCGTTGAGCTTCGACGCCCTGGCTCTGTCTCGCAAGCGTTTTCTCGTCGCTAGGAATATTTTGATGTAGACGATGGTCATTATAAACAGCGGGATGTAGAATGAACCGAGAGAAGAGTAAATCACGTATCCTTGCTGCGAGGTGAGCTGGCAAGGGGTTGAACTGTGGAAGACGTCTGGCCAGTCGTTCCATCCTATCAAAGGGGGCGAACTTATGGCCAGCGATAACACCCATACTATAGCTATCATCACGAGCACTCTTTTTAGGGTTCGCATTTGAGCGTAATTTATAGGGTCGGTAATCGCCCTGTATCGGTCGACGGCGATGGCGCACAAGTTGAGGATGGACGCCGTGCAGCACATGACGTCGCAGGTCAACCACATCTTGCAGACGTGTATCCCGAAGATCCACCGACCCAACAGAGTGTAGGCCACGTTGAAGGGCAACACGAGCAGGGCGACAGTCAGGTCCGCCACTGCAAGCGAGACGATGAAAAAGTTTTGAACGATCCTCAACGGCTTGTAAGTGAACACGCTGAGTATGACGAGGACGTTGCCGACCACCGTCAGTATGATGATCAGCGATAAAATGACAGCAGTTGCTATCGCCTCCCATACAGGAACGGCGAAAACGATCCCAAATGGGCTTTCGTAAAAAATGGGCTCATTTTCGCAGCCGCCGTTGAATCCCGACAAGTTGGTGATGTTGCTCACGGCCTCGATGTACTCCCAGTCCGCCATCTTCAAACTGGTATCTGAAACACACACAAATTCTGTTAAAACACAATATCTAATTTACACATTTAATCCGTATAATCAAATTAAATCAAGTGATATGTACAGGGGTACTAATTGATTGCAAATCTGGCTGGATGGCTGGAAAGCCGAGGGAATATCAGTACAAAATGTATTCAACGTTCTCAATGTCAGTTTCATTTACTGCAGATGACCAAAACCGATCTCTTGAGACCTTGAGAAATCAATCGCCACAGCAACTCTGGTGTATTCGCCATTGCATTTGTACTTGTATCACTTCTCTCTATTTTCTATTAAAAAAAAACACCTTATTTTACATCAAAAGTAACTTTAAGTTGGATTTTTGTAACAATGATTTTCAAAATCTTATCCCTACGAATGAGAGGGATAATTATCTGTTGGAAACATGAATTCTGTTATACATTTGGAAAATACATGAGTGTTCATGCACGGATTTAAGCTAAACCTTTTTACCTAAACCTCGTCAGTTGACCCGTAACTTTTGACCAGCTGTCCACAAACTCATTTTTACTGTATTCCGGCCAACCCTCTTCTTCATCATTTCGCACTTTTGACGTGTTTTTTTAATTTACGACGGTACTTTGTTCCGTAACTGTTTGTAAGAGTCTGGATGGGAAAACTACGATTTGGAAAGCTTTCCTTTTTGGGTCGACCTATCTGGACCAGTGGGCAGGTATTTTCTACTTATTTCTTCTCTCGAAAGGTAAGAACTTTTATTTCTTATTTTTGTTTTTCTCATTTAAAATAATTTCCACTTCAATTCCTTTTTCTCGCGTTCACTATTTATTAATATATTTCTCTTCCCTTTTTCTATTATGTGCAAACAACGTGAGCATGTAATTTAACATTTCCCCTGGTTTCTGTTTGCCTAGACTGTAAATTGAAATTGGTTTACAAAAGGCATATATCAAACACAAGCGTTTAATTAATTTCTAAAGAGGGTCCAATTTATGTAGACAATGCCTTTAAGGACTGTGCGGGAACGGTCCTCCCTATTCTCAGCCAGAGTGCCGTGCAACGTCGTTTCTAATCAAAAGTGCATTACACATTACCGCTAAATATCACTTTGCTAATGTAATTAATTTTATTAGTCAATCGGTGATAATCCGTGCGTAATTTATACGGAAATTTAAATCAACCCGTATGAAAGTCTACCCTTCATAATGTTTTTGTAAAACAAAAGAACGTCATTCGTGGAAATATGTCATAAATAAATAGTTAGATCAACTACATGAGCTATTTAAGAAGAAGGTAGAAATTTTATGGTGAAATTTGTCGTTTAAAGAATACTTTAAAAAAATCTATTAACGTTAATAATTGATAGGAAAACTTTGCAAAGTTAATTGTATTTAATTACTTGATAATAAAACTTACACGGGTGCCGGCAGGAGAGAACTTGAAAATGAGAGAGCAAAGGACCTTGCTAAAAAAGGCCCTTAAATCCTGTTTATTGACCTCCAATTTGCCCTCATCCCGTGAGCTTTGCAAAGGAAATAATTGAATGCTGGGGTAAAAACCAATTCCCCGGAGATAGGAATTTACTACCTTCCAGCAGGCAGGCAGTCGACGGAATTTATTAAAGCGATCAACTCTAAGAATCTCGCCCGCTCTGCTCTATCTCCGTGGTGCATGTCGGATAAGTGAGTGGCATCCATCCTTACGAGCCATTGCGCAATTTATTATTATTTTTTATATTTATTGAACCCGATCACGTGTAATGAACATGCTAAAAAATCGAATGCACTTAACAGAGGAAAATCCGTAAACTCTGACTCCCAGATGGAATCGTAAGACGGAAAGTCAACTCAAGTATGCAAAAATAACACGAAAGTTACCCTGGGGACCCACTGGGAAAAGGGCAGATAGCGACTGAAGGTATGTGTATGTATATATTTACTTTCATGAACATATATTTATTTTCATTTTGTGAGGTGATGGTATGATTATCCTCGGACAGGGTTCTTTGAGTTTTCGATTCATTTGGGACAAAAATAAAACTGATTCCCAGAAAACTACCGGCAGGCGACGTTCCGAAACAAGAAAAATCGGTAGAAGGGGTTTCCTGGTAATGTAGTAAAATCGGACGCCCAATCCACTGAAACGTGTACGATTAAAATATACGCCGTAGTAAAATCGGACGCCGACCCCACTGAGAAGTGTAAGACTAAAACAGTCTTTAAAATATACGAAAACGACTGTGGCGTTCAGTCTGAATTTGCGTGAACTATCAGTATTCAAATATTGGTACAAAGCGCAATCTGAACGTCCACTCGAAAATTGGCACATGTTGTTCTGATGATGATGAACTGGAAGCACTGGNTAATTATATATATAAAGAATCTCATTACCATGTGGTATACCAATAAGGGACTAAAATAAAATATATGTTTCAATTACAGTTTTAAAACCATGTTGACGACATTCCCCTGAACAAATAAAGGGGGTGTAAAAATAATATATACTTATCATTCGCATAGTCCAGGTATAAATACTTTTATTTAAAAAATTGGAAATTACTGTTGGGTGTGCCTTCAGATTGGGAATTATATCGTGAGATTTCTCTATGCTTAGTTTCTGATGATGGGCCAGGAGCCTGAAACGTCATGTAATTTTCTAAATTGAATAAAGGTTTTCAACCAGGGAGAACTTGGAATTTTTCAACCTATTAATAGAAAACGAAAGTTAACAAATTTTTCCAATTTTTTTCGGTAAAAAGTCGGCGCTACTCTGTATTTTCTGTTTTTCTGCGTTTTTTTCTTACACATCTGTATTAATAGCTTAGCAGGGGCGATTTAACTTCGTCTTGCTGATATTCATCGAACACGTAGCATCTTCGTTCAACTCTTCTCTCACACGTGGTGACAGGACCTAATTCATCAATCTTATAGCAACACAAAAAAAAAACAAAAACAAAAAAAAACTAATGCTGTTCTATATTCAACTAACAGTTTGACATATCTGCGGGTCTGCGGGGGCGGAATACACTGACCCTTCTTGACACTTAATCACTCATACAAATACATTCAGATACATTCATAAATACAGATAGAGCCTTTCAAACCGGATGCGCATTTAAAAATTGGTGAGACACTCGGGTACTGATAATTCACCGATGTTTCTCTCTCATATCACACTACGCACGTTCACATTAATAATAGTTTGACTAACTAGTTTGACAAGTCTATGGGGTACTCTATACTCCGTCAAAGACCAGACCATTCGAACTTACCCGTGCACGCAGATGAATATCATACCAAGAAAAGAAATAAAAGCCACGTATGAGGGATTATTTATTTATTTATTATAACTCCAACAGAAAGAATCTACAAGAGTAGTAGTAAAAAAAGGCACATAATAAAAAGAAGAACAAATGATCAATTAAGCAATAATAACAAAAACACAAGGCTTAATGATTCAAGGCAAGTAAACATTTAATTTAACTTTAACTGAATTCAAGGAATCGCGAAATACATCTATTTCATTAGAATAATAATTCAGCAATCTCATTATTTTCGGTAGGGGTGAATTTAGTCCATATTCTGTTTTGTAGTGTGGAACAAAGAACAAATTATGGTTCCAAAGTGGTCACTGAGGCACACATAACGATAAATGTAAGTTAAGAGATCGGCAAAAAAACGGCGTGAGCTAAGCGACTCAAGACCAAGCCAGTTCAGTCTTTCCAAGTAATTCAGGTGTGCAAGACCAAATCTGAAGGCCATTATCCTGGTTGCTTTCTTTTGTACTTTTTCCAAGTCGCTAATCTCACCAACGTAGTAAGGGACACTTGCATATTCCAGATGGCTACGAACAAGGGATTGATATAATATTTTAACTGCCAAGATGTTTTTAAAATCTCTAGAAAACCTAGTAATAAAGCCAAGATTGCGTAAAGCCTTACCTCGAATCTGTTTGATATGGTCANATCGTGAAAAAAGGGCCAGAGGCGACGGTGGGAATCGAACCCACGACCGCGGCGTGAGAGTCTCTCATGCTAACCACTCGGCTTTCGCGGTCCCCCAAATAAAGAAAACTTACAATCCTTGAATATACTACAGACATCATTGAAATAAACAAGAAATAATATGAGCCTGGAGTGAGAACCCTGAGGTACGCCAGAAAATGTAGAAATCCTATCCGATACCGAGTTATTAATGAGAACAGAAAAAGAGCGACCAGATAGAAATGATTCTATGAAGGATAACAAAGGATCACCAACTCCAAGGATTTTCAACTTAAACAGAAGAATATCAATGTCAACTCTATCGAAGGCCTTAGATAAATCTGTATATACAACGTGAACACTATTTCCATTCTCAAGGGAATTAACAATAAAATCATAATAATGAAATAAATTTGTACTGGTGGATCTACCCCTTAAGAAACCATGCTGATTGATGTTAACATATGATTGAAAAGCCATGCTAAGGGCCTCAGCAACAATGGAATCTAACATCTTGGCGAAAACAGACGATTTGCAAACGGGTCTGTAATTAGCAATGAAGTGGGAATTACCTTTCTTATAAATAGGAACCACGTAAGAATATTTCCATTTAACGGGAATTTTTTATTTATTCCCTAACCATCCCTAACTATATATAACTATATACGTTTATCGATTTTAGATATTCAAGAAGTTTATGTCAATTGGCCTATGATCTTCTTTATTATTAATGTTTGCTGATGAAGTTATGTATTCCAATGATCAAAATGAGAATAAATTATTTGCTGAAAGAAAAAAAATGTAAGAGAGCATTTCACGAGAAAAGATCTTGGTGCTAATAGTTGTAGCATAAACGTCCGACTCAATGAGAGGATCACCTTTCAGATCACGTATATCTGGTCGGGTTACCTATTAGAAGCTATTTGTCCCAATAAATTTGTCTCAGAAGAAGATAAAAGAATAAAAAAAAAGATCCGTGTAAATTCGAACTCGATGCACAGAACAACCCTTACACAGAACTCGCCGGCTCTGAGTCC